CACTCACGGAATAGCTTTTGTAATTTCACCGAGCAGAGGCCGCCCAGGTGCTCTGGCGAATCAATTTCTCGGCCTATTCAACGAGAACAACAATGGAAAAGACACCAATCATGTTGTTGCAGTGGAACTCGATACGATTAAGAGTGTCGAGTTCGAGGACATAGATGAAAACCATGTCGGAATTGATGTTAATGGGTTGACATCCGAGTTGTCCCATGGAGCTGGGTATTATGTGGACGGTAACGGCCAATTTATAAACCTGACGCTGATCAGCGGACGGCCAATGCAAGTTTGGGTAGAATACAATAGTCTAGAACAGAGAATGAATGTCACCTTAGCTCCAATTAATGTTCCTAAACCCAAACTCCCGCTTTTGTCTTTGTCAAGGGATTTATCACCGATCGTCAACGATACTGTATACGTCGGATTCTCAGCGTCAACTGGTGGGGTCGTGACATCTCATTATGTTCTGGGTTGGGGCTTTATGATTAACGGCCAAGCAGAGGAGCTTGTTATTTCACAGCTGCCTAAGCTTCCTCGCAGAGGACCGGAGCAAACATTGAAGTATTTAACAATTGGATTGCCTCTGATTTCCCTGACTCTGGGTTTTGCAACAGTTTCAGGGGTTGTTTATTTCATAAAGAGGAAGAGAGAATTCGCAGATGTAGTTGAAGATTGGGAACTCGATTACGGGCCTCAAAGATTCAAGTACAAAGATCTGTATGTGGCCACAAATGGGTTCAAGGACAAAGGATTACTGGGTTCCGGTGGATTTGGTAAGGTTTATAGAGGAACATTGCCCACCTCCAAATTGGAGATTGCCGTCAAAAAGGTCTCTCGTGAATCAAGACAGGGAATGAAGGAATTCGTGGCGGAAATTGTTAGCATCGGTCGTCTCCGTCACCGGAATTTAGTACAACTCCTGGGGTATTGCCGGAGGAACGGGGAGTTGCTCTTGGTCTATGACTACATACCGCACGGAAGTCTGGACAAGTACCTAATTTTGAGACTTAGTGCTGCTATCTTTGTTACTTACTAGATTATTTGCTTCAGTTGATTCTTTGGTATGTTTAATTGGTTTGTGACTAAATCCCTAATTCGTTCTTGCTTATAAACACTTTCGAAGTTGAAGTTGTTCAAGTCGCAAAAATCTCCGTTCCTGCTCGTTTATTATAGTTACTAGATTTAAACTCATCAAAAAGGAATTTAGGTATATGAATAGCCCTTATATACGAATTCTAGACTTCTTAATTGTGGTTGGGTTGTTTATTGTTAATTAGAGAAACATGTAGTTGATGGTTAGAATTTTGGTATCACTAAAGGCTGTTTTATTTCACTTTTGGGTACAACTATTTAATCTGATTTTTTTGCATTTTGTGAGCCCTGTTAGTTGCTGTTTTTGTGTTATCATCTTACCCTGTTCTTGCACATGAATTATGCCAAGTTTCATCATGTTTTACTTTGCCTAAAATATGCCATGAACCATGCATTTTTCTGCACTTTTCCTGCACAGTTTTATGACTCTAATATGCTGATTTTTGCCCCTAGAACTTGAATGCTACACAGCACGCTGCTATGGAATTTTGATTATTTTCCCCTTTATTGTACATTTGTTTTGGACACTAACAATTGTTGTCCATTTTTCCTCATTTGTTACAAAATTCTGCACTGTTTATAGCTTAAAACTTCACCATTTTGGACTGGGTTGCTGTCATTTTTTCTGCTGTAACTAGGAAGAATTTTGGCAACATTTTAAGCTTGGTTCACGTAACTGGGAAGAATTTTGGACAGCAACTGAAATCGTTTGGAGGGATTTTTTTTTTTTTTTTGAAAAAACCGTTAGGAGTCTGCGTAGGCTCTTCTCAGGTTTCTCATTTCACGCTGGGATGAAGTTAAAGGACCCGGAAAGAGAATCCGGTTCGGGTTCGGGTTCGGGTTTGGGTTCGGGTTCGGGTTCGGGTTGTCCATTTAGAATTAAGAATGAGCATGTGGTTGGTATTATCATAAAATGCTGTAACTATAATTATAATTATGATTATATTAAATTGTGTTGAATTGTAATTTTGAAGTTATTTTGATATTTGGTTATTTATTTTTTAAAAATATTATGAATGAAA